AGTACGTGACACTGCGTATGGTGATCGCGATCACCAAGTATTTCGACTGGCCACTGGACCAACTCGATGTGGTGACAGCCTTTCTCTACGGAGTGATGAAGGAGAAGGTGTACTGCGTGATACCAGAAGGCGTCGAGATGGATGGCGACTTCGACTGTCTCGAGTTGGTGAAGGCGATCTACGGTCTCAAGCAAGCTTCACTGTGTGGAACGAGACTTTCGACGAGTTCGTATGCTCCATCGGTTTCGAAGCGTCGGCGTTCGACCCATGTCTCTACATCAAGGTTGTCGACGGTCACTGTGTGCTCGTGCTGGTCTACGTGGATGACGTGTTGGTCACCGGCAGCTCGCTCGAGTTGATTGCGCAGACGAAGGCCGACCTCAAGACGCGTTTCGAGATGACCGACAGTGGCAAGTGTACTTTTGTACTGGGCATCGAACTGGTGGACGAATCGGATGGCAGCGTGACAATGTGCCAGCGACGGTATGTCAACGACATCCTCAAGCGCTTCGGCATGGATGCGTGCAAGGCCACAGCAAGTCCGGTCGACTTGAGCACTCGGCTTGTCGCAAGCACCGAAGCGGCCAAGATCGACGTTCCGTTTCGTGAAGCTGTGGGAGCTTTGATGCACTTGACGACTGCGACGCGCCCGGACATTGCGTATGGTGTGGGGTACGTCTCGCGCTTCATGGAGAATCCGCAGCAAGAACATTGGACGGCGGTGAAGCGCATCTTTCGTTACTTGCAAGGGACCAAGTCGCACGGACTCCGCTTCCAGCCAAGCGACAAGATCGACTTTCGTGGCTACTCGGACGCGGACTGGGCCGGCGACCACGCTGATCGCAAGTCGACTTCGGGTTACACTTTCATGCTGATGGGTGCTCCTGTGAGTTGGGGAAGCAAGAAGCAGTCAAGTGTGTCGCTGTCGACGAGTGAAGCGGAATACATCGCACTGAGTCTGGCCATCCAGGAAGGCAAGTGGGTGCATCGCCTGCTATGCGAGATTTTGGCGGCCGCAAACGAACCAGGACCGGACCTCGTCATCCGTGAAGACAACCAGTCGTGCATCAAGATGACGAAGAATCCGGTGAATCATGGCCGCGCCAAGCACATCGACATCAAGTACCATCACATCCGTGATGAGGTCAAGCGCGGGGAAGTGCAGCTCGAGTATTGCGAGACTTCCGTGATGATGGCGGACATCATGACCAAGGGACTTTCGGGACCTCGTCACAAGGACTTGACGACGGCTCTCGGCATTCGTGCGAGTTCGGATTGAGGGGGCGTGTTGACGGTCATCGGTTTCTACCAGTATTGGTAACCGTGACCGGTCCAATCCGAACCGCCTGTTCAGCTTAGTATTTACGACGTAGTTCTTACGGTAATTACCATAGTTGATTAGACGCGTAGGATGATGAGACGCTTCACATGATTTATATGTGCACCACATATAAATCATGTAGTAAGTAGTAAGCCCCGATAATCAATCACTTTCCAATCTTCCATCTACCCCCCCAAGTGTCTTATCCGGTCTTCCGAGTAGACTCCCAGCATCACTCCCAGTTTCGGTCGTCAAGCTTTTCACCATTCAACAGTAAGAAGGTCAAGTTCGTGCGACACGACGGAGCTCGCGAGTTTGCAACCAACTCGCTTCAACTGTTCTACGAAGACGAAGGCATTGAACAGCAGACAACGGTGCCGTATGCACATCAAACAAACGGAACAGCAGAGCGTGCCATTAGGACTATTGTCACGATCGGCCGCAGCATGCTTCATCATGCCAAACTGGACAAGTGTTTCTGGGCCGAAGCAGCGATGACGGCCATCTACGTCAAGAATCGACTGCCGTCACCTAAAGTCGTGCACAAGACCCCGTTTGAGATCGTCTACAACTTGAAACCAAGCGTCAAGCACATGCGAACATTCGGGTGTCAGACATACATACTGACGCCTAAAGAGAATCGACTCAAGTGGGATCCAAAGGCTCGCGCTGGCATATTCGTGGGCTACGAAGAAGTTTCGAAGGCATATCGTGTTTATGACATCGAGGCGGGGCAGGTGGTTATCAGCCGCGATGTCAACTTCGACGAGTCCACCTTTGGACTTCAACTGCCGATCACTGATGAAGATGTCGATGACCTGGACTTCGAATTGCTGGATCTTGATGACGAAGAGCTGCGTCAAATGGAGTACAAGCAAACAGGCAAGCGCAAGAACCGACTCAATGATGAAGATACAGCAGCTCCACGACCGCGTGCAGTGCGTCAACGACCAGGACTAGAAGAGTCAAGCGCGCCGGAAAACAACTCGTCACGACAAGAAGAAGACGAAGAAACGAAGGATTCTGGTGATTCAACACCGCCTGTGTTTTGGCGTGCGAGTGCAAATGCCGTTGAAGCAGCAGTGGACTTATCAGAACCCTCAACATTTGAAGCAGCAGTAAGCGGCCCTGACCAAGTGCACTGGAGAAAAGCAATTCATGCAGAGCTCGAGTCAATGCGACTTCGCGGTGTGTTTCGTGCAGCCAAGCTGCCCAACGGACAACGCGCCATTGGCACAAAATGGGTGTTCAAGATCAAGCGCAAGGCGGATGGGTCGATCGAGAAGTACAAGGCAAGTCTCGTGGCAAAGGGCTTTCTCCAGAAGTATAGAATCGACTACACCGAGACGTTTTCGCCCGTGGTCAAGTATGTGACGCTGCGAATGGTGATCGCAATTTCCAAGCATTTTGGATGGCCCATCGACCAGCTTGATGTGGTGACAGCTTTCCTGTATGGCGTCATGAAGGAACAAGTGTTCTGCGTGATTCCTGAAGGCGTCGAACTTGACAGTACGTTCGACTGCCTGGAATTGGTGAAGGCAATTTACGGCCTGAAGCAAGCTTTGCGAGTATGGAACGAGACTTTTGACGAGTGTGTGTTCCATTGGATTTCAAGTGTCAGGCTTCGACCCATGTCTCTACATCAAGACTTCGGACGGCCATTGCGTGTTTATACTGGTCTACGTGGACGACGTCTTGGTGACTGGAAGCTCGCTCGAGCTGATTGCACAAACCAAGAACGACCTGAAGACGCGGTTCGAAATGACGGACAGCGGCAAGTGTGCGTTTGTTCTTGGGATCGAGCTTTTGGACGATGAAGATGGCAGTGTGACACTATGTCAGCGTCGGTATGTCGATGATATCCTCAAGCGCTTTGGCATGGATGATTGCAAGGCAGTCGCAAGTCCAGTCGACATGAGCTCTCGACTTGTTTCAAGTGATGCAACTACCAAGGTCGATGCTCCTTTTCGCGAAGCTGTTGGTGCGTTGATGCACCTGACCACTGCAACGCGTCCGGACATTGCGTTTGCTGTGGGCTATGTGTCGCGGTTCATGGAAAATCCCCAAGAAGAACACTGGGTTGCAGTTAAGCGTATCTTTCGCTACCTACAAGGCACCAAGACGCATGGAATTTGCTACAAGCCAAGTGCAAGGATCGACTTCCGTGGATATTCGGATGCGGATTGGACTGGTGATCTTACCGACCGCAAGTCAACATCGGGGTACACGTTCATGCTACTCGGTGCGCCATGATGAACTTTAGACTTCTTGGTCCGAGTGCAAAACGCAAAGTAAATATATATTTATAATAGGTACTTAGTTCGCAACTTTGAATACTACCTCTAAGCCTATTATTCGCAGTGACGTCACCCACTGACGTCACCCACTGACGTCATGTAATGACTGTTGAAAAGACAGCGGCTGTGAAGAAGACACCTCGTCAAGCTGCGTCAAGTGTTGAAGCAAGTGGAAGACCAAGCTTCGCTATACCGGTGGGTACCGGTATGTACCAGTAAGGGCGAAGTCAGGAAATGACGTCACTGGATGACGTCACTGCGAATAATAGGCTTAGAGGTAGTATTCAAAGTTGCGAACTAAGTACCTATTATAAATATATATTCACTTTGCGTTTTGCACTCGGACCAAGAAGTCTAAAGTTCATCAATGCAGAGCTCGAGTCAATGCGACTTCGCGGTGTGTTTCGTGCAGCCAAGCTGCCCAACGGACAACGCGCCATTGGCACAAAATGGGTGTTCAAGATCAAGCGCAAGGCGGATGGGTCGATCGAGAAGTACAAGGCAAGTCTCGTGGCAAAGGGCTTTCTCCAGAAGTATGGAATCGACTACACGGAGACGTTTTCGCCCGTGGTCAAGTATGTGACGCTGCGAATGGTGATCGCAATTTCCAAGCATTTTGGATGGCCCATCGACCAGCTTGATGTGGTGACAGCTTTCCTGTATGGCGTCATGAAGGAACAAGTGTTCTGCGTGATTCCTGAAGGCGTCGAACTTGACAGTACGTTCGACTGCCTGGAATTGGTGAAGGCAATTTACGGCCTGAAGCAAGCTTTGCGAGTATGGAACGAGACTTTTGACGAGTGTGTGTTCCATTGGATTTCAAGTGTCAGGCTTCGACCCATGTCTCTACATCAAGACTTCGGACGGCCATTGCGTGTTTATACTGGTCTACGTGGACGACGTCTTGGTGACTGGAAGCTCGCTCGAGCTGATTGCACAAACCAAGAACGACCTGAAGACGCGGTTCGAAATGACGGACAGCGGCAAGTGTGCGTTTGTTCTTGGGATCGAGCTTTTGGACGATGAAGATGGCAGTGTGACACTATGTCAGCGTCGGTATGTCGATGATATCCTCAAGCGCTTTGGCATGGATGATTGCAAGGCAGTCGCAAGTCCAGTCGACATGAGCTCTCGACTTGTTTCAAGTGATGCAACTACCAAGGTCGATGCTCCTTTTCGCGAAGCTGTTGGTGCGTTGATGCACCTGACCACTGCAACGCGTCCGGACATTGCGTTTGCTGTGGGCTATGTGTCGCGGTTCATGGAAAATCCCCAAGAAGAACACTGGGTTGCAGTTAAGCGTATCTTTCGCTACCTACAAGGCACCAAGACGCATGGAATTTGCTACAAGCCAAGTGCAAGGATCGACTTCCGTGGATATTCGGATGCGGATTGGACTGGTGATCTTACCGACCGCAAGTCAACATCGGGGTACACGTTCATGCTACTCGGTGCGCCATGATGAACTTTAGACTCTTGGTCCGAGTGCAAAACGCAAAGTAAATATATATTTATAATAGGTACTTAGTTCGCAACTTTGAATACTACCTCTAAGCCTATTATTCGCAGTGACGTCACCCACTGACGTCACCCACTGACGTCATGTAATGACTGTTGAAAAGACAGCGGCTGTGAAGAAGACACCTCGTCAAGCTGCGTCAAGTGTTGAAGCAAGTGGAAGACCAAGCTTCGCTATACCGGTGGGTACCGGTATGTACCAGTAAGGGCGAAGTCAGGAAATGACGTCACTGGATGACGTCACTGCGAATAATAGGCTTAGAGGTAGTATTCAAAGTTGCGAACTAAGTACCTATTATAAATATATATTCACTTTGCGTTTTGCACTCGGACCAAGAAGTCTAAAGTTCATCAGGTTATGAGCCCAAGTTCGTCAGACTCTGAAACCGCCAACAATTCAAGCTTAGCTGCCATGGACGCCTCCTCCCTCCGCATCTCCAAGTTCGATGGAACTAACTTCCACGCCTGGAAGTTCAAGATGCAGATGGTGCTGGAGGAACGGGACCTATGGGAGGTCGTCAGCGGTGAGATCAAGGCGGAACAGTGCGAGACTCAGTTGGACCAAGCGACGTACAAGAGGAAGTCAAGAAAGGCGATGGCAGTGATCTGTCTAGCCATGGAAGATTCCCAGCTACCGTTGGTCCGGTCGGCAAGTGGTGCATGCGACGCATGGTCAAGGTTGGAAGACCACTTCGAGAAGAAGAGTCTTGCCAACAAGCTGTTCTTGCGCCGTCGATTCTTCACGACAATGATGGAAGAAGGCGACGATGTGCTCGAACACATCAACAAGCTCAAGACGCTGGCGGAACAGCTAGAAGCGGTGGGGGCTCCAGTCTGCGAGGACGATCTGGTGATCACACTCCTCGGCAGCCTGAGTGACTCGTATCAATTCTTGATCACAGCTTTGGAGTCGCGCTCAGACACTCTTAGCTGGGAGCTCGTGACGTCTCGACTGCTTCATGAAGAAATGAAGCGGAAGGAGCAAGGGAAGTAAAGGTGATGAAGCTTCGCAAGGTCAAGCGTTCATCACAAGGGACAATCAGCGCAAAGGGCGACCAGTGAAGAAGTCCTGGCCGTGCCACAATTGCGGAAAGATTGGTCACTGGATGGCGGAGTGCCCCTCGCGCATCCAAGAAAACACGGAGAGACACCGGCCACAGCGTGCTCAAGACAGCGGCGACCGCTATCGATCACAACGTGCAAACGTCGCTCAAGAAGAAGACTCGGGCGACTACCTCTTTTCGATCGGTGAAACGACATCTGCGAAATCGAGCGACATCTGGCTGGTCGACTCCGGGGCGACGCAGCACATGACGTGCTCCAAGAAGTTCATGCGGAACTACAAGGGGTTTGACGCTGTGGATGTCCATCTCGCGGATGATGGAATCGTCCAAGCAATCGGCAGTGGGGACATTGTCATGTCGATGAAGACACCCCAAGGGATGAAGAAAGGTGTGCTCACAAACGTGTGGCACATCCCAAAGTTATCCAGAAACCTGTTCTCGGTCGGCCGCTTCACCAAGGATGTCGGCCCAGTGACGTTCACGAAGGATGGGTGCTATGGAGAAGCGAAAGGGACCAAGTGGAAAATTGGTGCCCGTGAAGGTAAAGGACTGTTCAAGCTGCAAATGACTCCAGTGGCGCCGGAACAAGCAAATGCAGCCAAGTCGTCGGGATGTCAAGGGGGCACCAAGTCGTACCTCTGGCACCTTCGGCTTGGCCACATAGGTCACGATGGACTCAATTGCATCGTGACGAAGAACATTGGAATTGGCATCGACATATCTTCGGTGAAGAAGTGGGACGTGTGTGAAGGTTGTGCTCTGGGAAAACAGACTCGAGTGCGCTTCCAATCAAACACTACAGCTCGCACCTCCAAACTCCTCGAAGTGATTCACAGCGACGTATGCGGACCGATGTCGATGGCAACTTTCAGTGGAAAACGGTACTTCGTGACATTCATTGATGACAAGTCAAGATACTGTGTCGTCTATCTGCTCAAGAGCAAATCTGAAGTTGCGGCGAAGTTCATGGAATACGCTGCGATGGCCGAAACGCAAACCGGAAAGCGCGTGAAGTACCTTCAAAGCGACAATGGGGGTGAATACAAGTCCGACAAGCTGGCACGATTCTGCGCGGAACGGGGAATACAACAAAGGTTCACACCCCCATATACTCCTCAGCTAAACGGAGTAGCTGAGAGAATGAATCGCACGCTGGTCGAGTGTGCGCGTTGCATGATGGAACACGCTGGACTGGGAAAGAGCTACTGGGGTGAAGCAGTGATGACGGCGATGTTTCTTCGAAACCGCTGTCCAACACGTGCCATTCACCAAGACAAGTCTCCATATCAAGTGTGGACGATGAAGAAACCGATTCTGGCCAACCTTAAAGTGTTTGGATGCCACGCGTATGTTCAAGTGCCTCAAGACAAACGCGCGAAGTTCGACTCCAAGTCATCACTCTGTCGTTTCCTGGGATACGCCGAACACCAGAAGTCATATCGATTTGAGGAAGTGTCAACAGGAGCGATCAAGATCAGTCGCGATGCCACATTCATGGAAGACAAGTTTGATGAAGGTCCGCGCAACTACAACGATGAGTCAAGTGTCGTTGAGTTTGATGATCATGATGAGGACGAAGAAAAAGAAGAAGGTAAAACTGACGACGACATGGACTCGAGCGACGATGACAACGAAGACACCAGGTCTTCGGAGAGCAACATCAAGAGACACACGCGCACTCAATCACTTGAGAAAGCTACCGTCATTCCAAGTCCCAAGCGAAGAACGTACAGAGGTCCGTCGCTTGAGCATGTGTCAGCGGCTGCAATGGATTTTGAAGCAGCCTACATCGTTGATTCAGTGGGGGAAACGCCGACTACATTCAAGTCGGCGATGGAATCAAGCGACTCCGGCAAGTGGAAAGAAGCGTGTGACTCGGAGTTCGATTCGCTTCAGAGAAACGACACGTGGGAAATCGTGCCTCTTCCGAAAGGTCGCAAGGCCATCGGGTGCCGATGGGTTTTTCGTGTAAAGGAGAATCAAGATGGCGAAGTTGAACGTTTCAAGGCAAGACTTGTGGCCAAAGGATTCTCACAGAAATTCGGAGTTGACTATGAAGAAACTTTCGCACCGGTGGCCAAGTTCACATCGATTCGTGTGGTGCTCAGTATGGCGGCTAAGTACGGCCTAATGCTACATCAGATGGACGTCAAGACAGCGTTTCTTAACGGCTCCCTCAACGAAGACATCTACATGGACCAGCCGGACGGATACCTGGATGCAACACAGCCGGACTATGTGTGCAAGCTAAAGAGATCACTCTACGGCTTGAAGCAATCGCCTCGCATGTGGAACCAAACAATCGATGGGTTCATGATCAAGATGGGATTCAAGAAGTGCGAATCGGACCACTGCATCTACATCAAGCGAGACGACCAAGACATGATTCTCGTGGTGCTCTACGTCGATGATCTCATCCTGGCCAGCAGCAACAACGAACTCCTCAAGTCAACCAAGATGGCGCTGAGCAAACGCTTCGAAATGACGGATCTCGGTGAGCTCGATTACTTTCTCGGCATGGAGATCAAGAGCGACCGTAAGACGGGAATGGTGACTGTACAACAAACCAAGTTTCTCAAGTCCGTGTTGACCAAGTTCGGAATGGATAACAGCAAGCCAGTGAAGACGCCTCAAGATCCCGGCCTGAAGCTAACCAAGAACATGTGTGAACAAGAATGCAAGCACGAAGACACCATGTGCAACGTGCCATATCGAAGTGCTGTCGGAGGCATCATGTATCTCATGGTCGCCACACGTCCGGATCTAGCTGCTGCAGTGGGATCATTATCCCAGTTCTCGTCCGACCCATGCCCGACTCACTGGCAAGCTTTGAAGCGTGTGCTGAGATACCTGCAAGCAACGCCCAATCATGGTCTTGAGTTTACACGTGAAGAAGGAAGCCGTATCTGCGGGTACACCGACGCAGACTGGGCCGGCGACGTTGAGTCAAGACGAAGTACAAGCGGCTATGTGTTCATGATGAGCGGAGGATGCATCAGCTGGAAAAGCCAGAAACAACGGACGGTCGCGCTATCTTCAACAGAAGCAGAATACATGGCGCTTTCCGAAGCAACCAAAGAAGCAGTATGGCTCAAGGTGCTTTTGGGGGAACTTGGTGAGATGACAAGCGACGAAGCGATCAAGATGTATGAAGACAACCAAGGATCAATCGCTCTCGCCAAGAACCCGGAGTTCCATAAGAGAACAAAACACATCGACATACGCTACCATTTTGTGCGTGAGAAGGTGGAATCAGGTGAAGTCGTTTTGGAGTATTGCCCGACTCAAGATATGCTGGCAGACATGATGACCAAGCCGATCGCCGCTGTACAATTTGAAAACATTCGCGATCGACTTGGGATCCAAGGTGCCGCAGCTAACGAGTCGAGAGGGAGTGTTGGGAAGACGGCGGCTGTGAAGAAGACACCTCGTCAAGCTGCGTCAAGTGTTGAAGCAAGTGGAAGACCAAGCTTCGCTATACCGGTGGGTACCGGTATGTACCAGTAAGGGCGAAGTCAGGAAATGACGTCACTGGATGACGTCACTGCGAATAATAGGCTTAGAGGTAGTATTCAAAGTTGCGAACTAAGTACCTATTATAAATATATATTCACTTTGCGTTTTGCACTCGGACCAAGAAGTCTAAAGTTCATCAACAGGTTCTGCTAGGTCCGTTGCTTCCACTGCGTTTGCACTTGCACGCCAAAATGTTGGAGGCGTCGAGTCGTCATCTTGATCGTACACGCTTGCATCTTCTTCGTCATCAGACATCGTTTCTGGAGCACTTGATCGTCGTTTCTGGTGACGGTTGGAGACGTGTTCCGGCGCACTTGCTTGTTCCAACCCAGTTCGAGGGCGAGCTGACCGTGACATGCCGGGT